AATGCTCAAATAAGCAGTTTTTTACCATGATCCAAAATATAGCAGCCTGCTGTGTTCATCCAGCCCTGCACCTTGACTGAACCGATACCATTTTCACCTGAATCAGACGATTGGAGATTTATGTCCCACTACTGACTGTAAACACTTAATCAAGTCTCAGACAAATTTAACACTGTGCTATATTTTGGATCATGGTAAAAAACTGCTTATTTGAGCATTTGAAGAGCAGCAAGAAATTTCACTGACATTTGAGTCTGTATTCCTCCCCCAATTAATATCAAAAACAGATCAACTAGTCATTATTCTTCCTGTTTGCTACTCATAGGAACTAAATGACTGGAAAATCAATTGATTGGTAGTGAGATAGTTCAGAACATCCACAGATATTTGGTCAGGTGCAACATAAATCCAAGATTCTCTTCTTTGCAATGTTGATGGCTTTCAGTGACAATGATGATATTCATAGTCCTCCAGATTGCCATTAATACCGTCAGTTCCTGTGAAGCTGAATGTCTGACCAGGTCTTTTATAAAAGCTCAATTTTGGACTATTGTGATACTGGCAAGGGTGCGTAAATTGCGACTACCACGTTAAGTACAATTCAGAGTGAGGCAAAGCAATTAATTAAAAAAGTACAATATGTAAACAATTTTTGAGGACACCTTTTTGTTGATAACCCTGTATCTTGGGTTGAATGTACTTTTTATTAACGTTGTGGCACTCCTGTTAACACATTAAACTTAAAATCTACATAATTATATTACAAATATAAATCTGCACAGCATAACATTATTTTAAACAAATGAAAAATACTTTTCTTTAAAATACAGCATTTGTGGCATACTGTAAGATCATTCACAATCACATACAGAGGAGTTCTCTCACAAGCCAGATGTATAACTTGGCATATGAGAATTGAAGGCACAAATACAATGTGCAGTGCAGATACAGTGTTGTGCAAGAATGATATTTGTGATACCTTTATTAATATAGGCACTGTTCTTTTTCATATGGCATTTTTTTCACAGATGAATTGCCAAGGAAAAGTAAGCCAGAGGCCAGATGCTTCCTACTGGCACCCAACTGAAGATTTAACTTTACAAAAGCCTGCATAAATTTCCACCAGATGATAGAGAAAGGTGGTCAGCCTTCAAAATAGAGTTCAATTTCAGTTGAGGCAGGGGACAACTTATTATGAAGGATAGCATGACTGTTACAGTATGTGAATAAAACAAAATTCTACAACAAGAAGCTGTTAGATGAAGCTCCTGAAATTTTCTGTTTGAAGTTCTGTCCTGCCTGTTATGTTTCCTAATTAAGCCTTTAGCTATTTCCCCTATCATAGCAACAATGATTTTGTTGCCCTCAAGGTTTTGCCTCTTACGAGGAAGAGAATGTGGAAACTAAGTAAATTTGTCTTCAACTCCCCACATCTACCTTAGTTACCTGGTTTATCTTTAATCCTTCACTTTACATTCCTTGTCTTTGCCTCTCCAGCTAGCTTTATTTCTTCGTCCATGAACTGGGGCCCTGTAATTAATTCTCTTGGACCAGGAAGGATTTGGTATTATCTTTGTGTCTTCCCCACTGTATTAATTTTTTATGTGTAAAAATCTTTGTCAAAATGGATGATGGTCAAGCAGATCATGTCAGATAAAACACACAGACCCAATTCTGTGCTACTCAATTGTTGAAGTTTACTTTCCCACAATGTGATACGGTTTCATGGGTTTCAGTTGCCAGTGCGTACCTAGCCATCTATTCCAACACCAAAGATAGCTGTCGCAGGATTTAAGTGCAAGAGAAATTACAGCAAAACCTCCATCTCTCAATATGCAACAATAGCTATTGAATTTTAATCAAAAGTAATACTTCTTTACATTTCTGCACTTCAAGGCTTCTAATGAAAATGTAGCATTTTTTACTGCTATCCAGGTGAAATCAACTACTACTGGCCAGAGATCAAATCTAGAAATGTTTTGGTTTGAGTGGATCAGTAGCTTTCAGGGTTAACCACTGGGAAAAATCCTGTCTGTACATATGCAGAGACTCAAATTCAATATTTTATTTTTGCACAAGTTTCAAAGAACATTCAAAACCAAAATATTTACAGGAACAGTTTATTCCATCAAAAATACCATCTACCTCACTTAGCTTCATGTTTCTACAACTGTTTCAACAATATGATTTGTAGGTTTAGGAGCTAGGACAATGATAACTATAATAAAAACAAAAACAGATGTAGATTTCTGAAGTGTACCTTCCAAACTTAGTACCACACAGCGCATAATGAAAAAATTTCTAACATGAGGAAACATTTTAACCAACACTTTAACCTAAAGACACCCTCTGCAAAAGGTATAATTCATTCCAGTTTGGAGGCTACTTGGATGCACACTGGCCGAAGAATACCCCACCTTTCCAAAATGCTTCAGCAAATGTGAGATAATTAAATATACCATCAAAGTGCTACAGTGCATTTGTATACAAATTCTGTGCACCAAATAACGGGACCCTATGTTTGTGGTTGGAACATCCAGGGATAGGGCGAGGGGGCTGGCAGCAGGGGTCAGATATTCCCACATGGTTTTATAATAATACAGAAACCAAACTAATCAAAATATCCTTTTTGCCCAATGCATTTGCTAGTAGAACAGTAGCAGCAAAGACCTGGGAAGCAGATTTCCATCAACCCTCCCAAACAGAGGAAGCAGGTGGTATCAATGAGTAAACTAAGGCAAAGAAATAACTTAAAATGGAGAACTCACTCGAAAATTAAATATTTTTCTAAACTGCTGCCAAAACCCTCATTTTTTTTTTTAACATCCTCTTTCTCCTTACACAACAGAAAGGTTATTCAATCTCTTTATGGGTAGACTGTACTTAGAACAAGTTAAAAATCAGTTTATGCATCAAACTGAATTTTTGGCAAGACATCTATTAAATATCTAATTCTGTTTCTTGATTGAAGGATGAAAATTCTAAAAGTGAGAATGGAAAAAGAAGCATTATTCAGATAACTCTATTGCAGAGGTGTCTAATTATATATAGACATTTGCAGAAGCTGTATAGGTTAAAGAGTTAATCCAACTCTTTTCTAATTATCTCTTCCTACGTTGCAATATTTGTCTTTTGTGGTCCTGATTGGTTCACATATCAGAGGAACCACCTAATTACAGTAATTATTAAATATTTTCCATTGCCTATGTTAAAGTAAATGAATCAGTGTTTCAAAGTAAAATATGTTGATGATACAGAGAAGGAGATAAATTTCAATGAACTGAGGGCAAAAGTGTCTATTAAATATTGTAGGTTTACATTAAAGCAAAGTTTCCTGTGCTTTTCAAAATCCAAATTTACAGAATGCCACAATAGGAAACTGCACTTTAAACAAATCCTTAATGTTTATTACAAAGCATGCGCATTAACACTGAACTGAAACTGAGTTTTTGTTCCACTAGTTAGAGCCAGTCGCTAGATAAATAATCACTGAACTGCAATATAGATAATCTTGAAATTGATGTGTTAAACTCGTGGTGAATATTTTGGATTTCTTGGCATTTCTGTAAATGACTTTAACTCATAAGGTATACCAGAATCCACTTCACTTGATTTTCGTGAAAACAGCAGCCTTATATCACTGTGCAAGTAGATTTTTCCAGACTTTGAACTTTGAAACCTGAACAATTAGATGAACAGATAGAACAAATGAACATTTGGATGCTAGTAAAACCCACTCTTCAATTTAAATTCTCAAATACACTTTATATCAACACAAACATTATCATATTAATAACCGGTAACAATTTCCTTTGAACAAAAAGGAGAAAATCTTATAGCCTAACAGAATTCTATTCATCTCATCATGAACAAATATAAAATCTTCCTTTCCCCTTCTGCACTCGTGCTGAGGGATGATTTCATTGGCATTAACAGTTTTACAGCACTAGATTCAAGAGAATAATCATCCAGAAGCATGGATTATCATAGTCTTATAATCTCATTAGGCCTGAGCCCAAATACTTGCAGGAGAAACCAATGATCAGAAGCAGGAATCTCAGGCAATATTTTACTCTTATGCAAGTTCAGGATGCTGAAGCCAATTGCATTGTCTCCAAAAATGGAACTGACAGCTTGGCGATAATGTCATTGGACTAGTAATCCAGAGACCCAGACTTGGGACATAGTTTGAACCTTGCAATGTTAACTGGGGGACTTTAAATTTGATTAATAATTCTGGAATTGAAAGCTGTTCTCAGTTATGGTGACCATGAAACAAACAATCATCGATGATAGTTATAAAAACTATCTCCTTCACTAGAGAAGGAAATGTGACTTCCTTATCAGTCTTGCCTACATGTGATTCTCAACAATATGGCTGCCTCTTACTGCCCTTTGAAATGGCTTAACAAACCACTCAGTTCCAGAGCAACTAGCAATGGACAAGAAATGTTGCCTTGGCCAACGATGTCCATGTGAAATGTAGGAATAAAGAAAAAAAAAAATCCTGTTTCAATCTGGACCCTTCTGATAAATCGGATTTAGTACACCACTTCTTAACAGTTCTTTGGGATCAAGGATGACTTACATCCATTGTGTTTTGATGGCTTCATGTTCCAAGATGGCTGAATGCACAATCTACAGAATCAACCACCACTTTGTGGCGGGAGGGTTGGGTAGATGGGGCTGTTTGCTCCCTTGCTGGGACCAAGTTCCAAAACAGCAGTTGCTTTGGCACTGAACATTTAAATGCAGGGAGCTCTCAGTTACCAAGTACTACGAGCAAATCCTCCGATGACAAGACTGGGAATGGTTGCTTGTGCCGTACTATTCTACAGTTCATTGGGAAAAGTTGTGCTAAAGATCCATCAGTTGTTTTTAATTAATTTAGTAATGTGTATGCTAATGATTTTATATTTTGCAAAACGACATTCATGTTTTGCAAAAATGGTTTCTAATTGGAAGCTGTTAGGGACAGGACTTCTGCTCTACAAGGGCCTTCATTCGATGAGAGTTCCTACATGACCCAGGTAGTGCCTGACTGCCTCATGATAATGATACACCTGCTATGGAAAGGTGAGGTGGGCTGTCACTGGTTCTCAATCAGTGAACAAGACCAACATTGCTGCCACTAAAGTTCACTCGGAGATTCTACAAAAGATAAATTAAGTTTTATTTTGAATCATCATTGGTGTGGAGTTTGCTGATCTTAGCTCTGGCAGGGTCTGATAATTTGAACTCAAATAACAATCACCACAACTACTGCTGGATTTTGCATGCGTGCAGCTAGCAGGTAGAAATGGACAAAGATTTAGTTGTAAATTTTGCACAATACCCCCCTTATTCTGTTCACAGTAAAATTTACAATGAAAATCCAGGGCAACCTAAAAACCAAACATTTCAAGAATCTCAGCTGAAAACTAAGTTATTTTCCAATCTATTAATTATTAGAAATAAAACAATGCAACATTACTGGTTGTAGAGAGATATGCGATAGTTTCAGAAACTACATACCTCAAATGAATCAGATAACATAGTATTTTTTTCTTAACTTCTGAATTTTCCATATTTTCATGTGTCCCTTCATTTTCTTCCACTGGTACTAGAAATATTCTGTGGCGCAAAAGTGTGATGTGGTTTGGTGGCATATCGCTGAAGTCGTAGGTCACTAAAAACATCTTCACCACAGTTTTATTTGGGTTGAATAAGGTCTGTAAATGAAACAACAATTATTATGGTAATAATTTAAAATCAACACCAAAAGCAATGAAATATAGCATTTAAATTTGTCAGATTGATGTTTACAATTGATCTCATTAACAAAGTTTGACAGTAAAAAATCTGCTGAACCTATCATGTATGCCAGTTGACAAAATATGTAAAACTATCTCAAGCTTTTATCTGAGGGAGAAAAGTGTTGTGAAGTTGGGTGTAGTATTTGTGGATTGGAAGGCAGGATGTTAGAATATGTTTATAAAATGATAGAGGGAGGGGGGAAGACCGTGTGGTCCCTTTAAAAGATGATATGTTTTTCTAGGCTTAGATTAAAAAAAAGTCTGCAGACAGCAGATGCACAGAGAGTTCTTGAAATTGAAACATTGTATCAGAACAGCGATACTGTTAGCAGGCAAAGCAGCATTTTTACTAAGACAACGGGTTTTTGAACTTAGCCAATCAATTTAAACCAGGCCCTAGCCACCAAAACCCAATTACATTTAAATCTGATGGCATTGACAACTTTGGAACAATCCTGTTCTAAGAAATTAATTGGTCATCAAGGGTATAAAAGAAGAGGGTGTTTGTAAATTAGTGTGAAAGCAACTGCCATCTGTTAAGAGAACAGTGCTCAATAGCCATCAGCTCTAAAGAGAGAGAAAGTCACTGGCTCTCACAAAAATCTCAAAGCTCTCAGAATAAGCACTAAATAAAAGGTACCACGGCACTCTTAGCATATATTTCTGACATAAGAATTCGACAGAGGTAGGTGTTGCTGACTGGAGAACAGCAGAGAAGATAAAGAACATTCTAGAAGACTTATCCTAACAGTAATTTTTGAGTTTTAGTTTGTAAAGGTTTAATTTATTTTTCTTATTACTTTGGTATATATAAATGGGACTTTTATTTATTGGAACAGCATACCTTTAGAATTTTGTTTTATTCGGGAATAGTTAGTAGTTAAAGGGGAATTCTTTGGTTTGTTAGTAGCTCTGTTAATTTGTTTACTGTTAGATAAGTAAACGGTTACTTGTTGCTTATAAACCAAGTATCAGGGATTTCATTTCATTTGACCATCCCCTCTGAAACACAAGGAATTGGGAAAGAGAAGGAAAACAGTATTTAGAATTTCACAAGCAGATGGTAATTTATGACTGTATACAAGCAAAATAAGATATCAATTAAAATGCAATGTAATATAATTAAACATAACATAAGAAGTAGGAGCCGGAGTAGGGCATCTGGCCCCTCCAGCCTGATCTGCCATCCATTAAGATCATGGCTGATCTTTTCATGGACTCAGCTCCACTTACTGACAACTCACCATAACCTTAATTCCTTCGTTGTTCAAAAATCTATCTTTGAGGTAGCCTTAACTGCTTCACTGGTCAGGGAATTCCATAGATTCACAACCTTTTGGGTAAAGAAGTTCCTCTTCAACTCAGTCCTAAATCTGCTCCCCCTTATTTTGAGGCTATGCCTCCCCCCAGTTCTAGTTTCACCTGCCAGTGGAAACAAACTCTCTGCTTCTATCTTATATAAAATTGTGAAGGGAATAGATATGTTTCTAGAAGAGCCCCCCTCATTCTTCTAAATTGCAATGAATATAATCCCAGTCTACTCAGTGTCTCCTCATAAGCCAACCCTCTCAGTTCTGGAATCAATCTACTGAACATCCTCTGCACCTCCTCCAGTACCAGTACCTCCTTTTTCAAGTAAGGAGACCAAAACTGTACACAATACTCCAGATGTGGCATCATCAGCACCCTAAACAGCTGCAGAATAACCTCGAATCAGAGATAGTAGGAACTGCAGATGCTGGAGAATCCGAGACAACAAGGTGCAGGGCTGGATGAACACAGCAGGCCAAGCAGCATCATAGGAGCAGAGAGGCTGACGTTTCGGGCCTAGACCCTTCATCAGAAAAGGGGGAGGGGAAGGGGGTTTTGAAATAAATAGGGAGAGAGTGGGAGGCGGATAGAAGAGGGATAGAGGAGAGGATAGGTGGAGAGGAAACAAACAGGTCGAAGAGGCGGGGATGGGGCCAGGAAAGGTGAGTGTAGGTAGGGAGTTAGGAAGGGGATAGGTCAGTCCAGGGAGGACGGACAGGTCAAGGGGGCGGGATGAGGTTGGTCGGTAGGAGATGGAGGTGCGGCTTGAGGTGGGAGGAGGGGATAGGTGGGAGGAAGAACAGGTTAGGGAGGCAGGGACGAGCTGGACTGGTTTTGGGATGCGGTAGGGGGAGGGGAGATTTTGAAACTTGTGAAATCCACATTGATACCATTGGGCTGCAGGGTTCCCAAGC